TCAGCTGAAGGTATCAATGATTTATATTTCCTTTGCCCGTTATGGCGTGTATTTTTTATGCGTTTTGTACTGTGCAACAGCAGTACAAAACGTATATTGTAACGAGGTTGTCTGTATGTGTGTTTGTGTGTTTCCGCAACAACTTGTCCGCAACTTTCAAATCGGGAACCACAAAAGCTAGGAAGCTGAAAATTTAGGGGAACGTTCCCCACCCACGTGTGACCCAGGGGAACCACAAAAGCTAGGAAGCTGAAAATTTAGGGGAACGTTCCCCACCCACGTGTGACCCCGCAAATCAAATTCAGCTTCCCTGTACCTGCAGGTAACACGTACGGCCCCGTGAAAGCTTTTTACGGGTAAGTTAATATCTCGGGAATTACGGAGTCTAGGAGGCTGAAATTTTACGGTAATGATCCTCTGCCCACGCCCAACCTTGCCCTTTCAAATTCAGCGTTCCCGCGCTTTCGGGTACCACCTATGGGCTAGTGATAATTTTGGCGGGTAAACCATTAACTCTCGAACCACGGAGTCTGGGAGGCTGAAATTTTAGGGTAATGATCCTCCGCCCACGCACAACCTTGCCCATTCAAACTCAGCCTTCCCTGTACCCGCGGGTAACAAGTATGGTCCCGTAAAAGTTTTTTACGGGTAAATTAATATCTTGAGAACCACGGAGTCTAGGAGTCTGAAATTTTAGGATAATGACCCTCTGCACACGCCCAACCGTGCCCATTCAAATTCAGCGTCCCTGCGCTCTCAGGTACCACCTACGGGCTAGTGAAAATCTTGGCGGGTAAACTATTAACTCGCGACAAAGACATTCAGCCTTTGAAGTCTCGAATCCGGCTTTCATGTGCTGGTGCGTGAAATTTTTAACTGTTTCAAACGTTCGAACTATTTTTGCATAGACAAAAGTACAAAGCAGTGAAAATCATTAATAGGCAATCGTTCCATGGGCTGAATTGCACAGAACGCATGATCGCACCGGCTATTCTGGTGCGCGTTGCTATTTATTTATATTCAGCAGCGTGTATTCTTATACCGTTTAGGGGACGGCAGTGCGCCTCGCTTAGTGTACAGTGAGTGCACTGTGTTGTCTATTGATTGCCCTAGCGCTGCATGCACAGCGCCCCTTTCTACCTTCGCTTATTGATCGTGCCGTGCTCTCGTCGCCCTGCCCACTCTTCTCTTTCTTGTGCTTTTTTTATTGATTGGTTTTGTTGTTAACGTAATTAAAGTTTTCGCACGAGCTGCGTCCTGATAGCCTTCGCGGATGGCAGTTTTTCTGCTCGATTAGTACAGTTTGCTTGTAATTCTGATGTTTATTTTGGGTCCCTCAAATACGAATAATTGGAATTATACGCCCTAAATCACAGATCGATATAAAGAGGAACTTACAACGAAGCTGTCGTCCTGAATGTATGAGAAGTCGAGAATTTTGTGCGCAATCTTTGAGCTTAGCAATTTTCGCATCTCTACAATCAATCCTGCTGTTAGACTTTTTTTTTCAGAATATTTGAAAAAACAGATAAAGTCAATTCTTTCGATCTGGTTTCAAGTAATCAAGTGTGAACGGGGTGCTCAAAAAGTCTCTGGGAAGATAAAGACATGTTATAAAATATGGCTATTCCAAAAACACTGCAACTAATGGTAAAATTTTACCAGCATCATCTGCTCTTACACAATCCGAGAATGGATCCGATGAACTGGAAGCTGCTTCTCGTTCGCGATGAAAATAATGGGACTGGAAAAATTTCGCCCAAAATTCTTGTTCGGTCATTTCGTGCGGTACCAATTCCAAGTGCTTTCTTTCCACTGGAAATTACTTCCGGCACCAAATATTCCAAGGAAACAAAAGTAGGGCAGTACATTTAATAAAAAACAAATTTTTCTAAACTTAAAACAGAAGCGTTATGGCTATCAGAACCATAGCAATTATCAGCGTGGAAATTTCAATGTTGGCGAGATCTTGTGCAACGCTGAGTCACTCCCTTCCAGCCCTAAACTTTTACTCAATCATAAAAAAAAGGAAAAAAAAACAAACCGGCAGGATATGTTCTGAATATACTTTGAATGGTATCAATACTAAGGTTTAGCTTCACTCCATTAGTGCCCTCCGATTGAGCGATACTACTCAGGAATCCACTGGAAACGCCTAATTTGTCAGTGTCCGATCCGTCCTTCTGAAATAAAACAACAAATTACGGTAGAAATTACAGTAAAGAACAGATTACAGTAAACGGCGAGTTACAGTAGACAACAAATTACAGTAAACAGCAAATTACAGTAGGCAACAAATCGCAGTAGAAACAAATAAAACAACAAATTTTCGAAAAACCAAGGATAATGGACAATTTTTAATGCGTTCAGTAACTTGCTTCACTTACTGTAGAAAAGAACATTCCCACTGGTGTATGGTGGGGCCAGAACAGTGGCGAAAAACGGTAAAAGGGGAATGTGCCCTTTTAGTCAAGTAAAAGTAGCAAACCTGCTGGTAGAAAAGAATTTTAGCGAATTTACAAGGAGAAGAACTTTGCCCAGGAGATACGAAATTTGGTAAGAAGAATGAAAAATTTCATCAAAAATACGTAATCTTTAGCTAAAAAAATGTAAAATGTAAACTTATAAGAATAAAAATTAAACTAAAATTACTGGATCGCGGCAAAGTTAGATGATTCGATTTGGGATAAAGAGTTTAACAAAAAAATACTTGAAAATTTTGAAAAATTCACAGTCCCCCTCAAAAAAAATCAAACATTCAAATGAAGCAAAAAACCGGAAAATTTAATTAGAAAAAATCACTTTTTTTTAAAAATCAAAAAATCAAAAAGTTTTTTTTTATAGTTCCAAAATATACAAAAATCTTATTTTTACGATAAGAACTTTCTTTAGAGAAACCAAATTTTCTGCTAAAATTCTAGTCGCAAAAAATATAAAAATCTGAAAAAAAAAACTGTAAAAGAGATAAAAAAATGCACTGTTTGATAATATTCGCTCCAAAAATCCTGTGCCGAAATGAGCTTCGATGCAACCAAATGCTTATACAGTTCTTGCAAATGCTTATTGCGCTCCAGAATCTTCTTTTTCGCTTCTAGCTCAGCCGCTTTGCTGTTTTTCAGCATCTGTGCCGCATTCTATAAAAAAATGTAGTAATAGTGAACAGCTATTTCAGGCAGTGGAAAAGAGGTCTGGCTCCATCACAAAGGACCGGCGCTACTTCTCGAAACATCTCCCACGGGTCAGCATGACCAGCATCTGTGATCGGGAAGGTGTGGCTACTGTTTTGTTATATAAGCGAACCTTAGCCCGGTATAAAGCGGTTCAGTTTCAGTTCGAGCTTTCGACAATGTCGACCCAGCAGCACGTCTCGATACACACACACACACACACACACACACACACACACAAACACACACATACAAACACACATACACACACACACCCCACACCATTCGCACTCATTCACAAAGGCGACACAACACAGACACCCTAGGCCCGAACACACATATGACTTGCCATTTAGTGTCCCTTTACTTTACTGATGTTACTAGATTTTTCATATACAGCAGTCTAGACAACAATACGGCAACTGTTGGAAGTTTGATGTCCTCATCACTTGCCTGGCGCTCAAGTGAACAGAAATGATGGGCCCTAGTTCCAGCGAAGAGAAACCAATAATTTTAAACTCAAAAACTAAAACAGATTAACCCAACATTTCTGTTAAAAAAACAATCAATGAAGCTAAGTTTTCCAAAAAATTTTTCACAATCACCTCGTACTAATACCGCTTCGAAATCTCATGAACTTTTTATGCGTTTTTTGCAGCAATGCAATGCGAAAAACGCATATTGACGAGAGGTTGTCTGTG